AAGCACCACAATTTAGGAAAGATGTGGACAAATTGGAAAGAGTCCAGAGGAGAGCAACAAAAATGATAAAAGGTTTAGAAAACCTAACCTAAGAGGAAAGTTTTAAAAAACTGGGCATATTTAGTCTTTAGAAAAGACTGAATGGAGACATTATAACATCTTCCAATATGTTCATGACTTATAAAGAGGATGGTGGTCAATTGTTCTCCATGTCCACTGATGAGCTTAATCTGCAGCAAGGGAGATTTAGGTTAGATATAAGGAAAAATTGTCTAACTATAAGGGTGGTTACGCTCTGTAATAGGCTTCCAAGGGAAGTCGTGGAGTCCCCATCATGCAACACACACCTGTCTTGGATGGTCTAGGTTTACTTGGTCCTGCCACTGCACAGGGGGCTGGACTTGATGAGTTCTCAATGTTTCTTCTATCCCTACATTTCTATGATTCTCTCTAGTCTTGTCAAATGCAAGCTTACCTTGCTCAGATTGATTCAGAATGCTGCTGCAAAGATCAATTTTCTAGCCCGTCACTTTGACCATGTCACCCGTCTCTCTGCATCCACTCACCTGGCTCTCCCTTCTCTATTGCATCAGACATTAGCTGCTATCTTCACTTTCAAGGACCTTCACGACCAATCCCCATCTTACTTATCTCTCATTTACTTTCGAGATGTTGACTTCCACCTCTAATCAGCCCATTAGGCCAGCCTCCATTGCCTACTTGTTAATTTTTCAAATAAGCACCTTGTGCTTTCTCCAATGATGCTCCTCCCACACTTGGGAGGAGCTACCTGTTAACATCTTCAAAGCTCATTATCCTCCTTCAAATCCTTCCTTAAAATTCTCCTTTGCCATGATGCCTACAAAAAACACGACAATGGGTAGGCAGCTGGTATTCTGAGACCACTGTCTATCAGGCTGACCAATACTGTCTTATTTTTAACTTGTACTCCCCCATCGGACTGTCTATCCATCTGTCGTCACCTAATCTCATTGTCAGCTCTTTTGGTACTGCACCCAGCACAATGGAGTCCTGGTCCATGCCTAAGGCTCCTAGGTGCTATGATAATAAAAATAATAAATAATAAAAAAAAACACCAGGCCTGAGTGACAGTGCTAGAAGGACATGTGAATTGAGTACTTGAGCTTTCTGCTATTATGCTATGACTGAGAGAGAGGCTTCACAACTCTCATGATTTGGGCCAGTAGAGTGGTACCCTTGGTGGGAAGGAGCAAAATATCAGTTAGGGCACTTCTGTTCAGATCCATCACCCTGGTATCTGAGCACTTCTAGTAGTGCTTTCAGTGATATGACTAGTGATATGAATGTGTGATTCAGTCTTTCCTCCTCTCTCCCACGTCCTGATTAGACAGCAAAAGCAGATGAATCAAGAGCCTCTATTGTGCTCTGGGGATTTTTTGCCCTTCAAGACTAGTGCTGGGCCTCTGCAAGGCCTTCCCAATTAACATTGCATCACCCTTCCTGGAAAACTCCTATACAATGTAATATAGATTAAACTAATAGGATTCTATAGAAATAGAGTTTTATACATGTTACTGTAACATCCTATATAATTTAATAGAGAATGAGCTTCTTTCTATAGGTTTTTGAACTATCCTACAGAAATCTATAGCAGAGATGTAATTCTCTATTAAATTATCAAAGAACCTATAGAAAAATTATCACACTCTATTAATTTCTACAAAACATTTCCATAAGCAGTGCATCAGAACTGGACTGGTTCCACTGCATCAGGGCATTGTTACCAGATTTGCCCGTTACTTTGGGGTATGCTCATTTGTTCGGGTTACTCTTCGGGGGTGGGGGTTCTGTAATTCTATCAATGTACTGCTTGTGTCACTTGTGTGTTCATATGGAGCTCTATTTCTCCCTGCTGCAAGTCCCCTCCCAGTGGAGCTATCCTGCAGGACCTAGGTTCCCTAGGACTGGGTTTCTCCAACCCCAGAACCGGATGAACACCCTCACACCCACACATACATTAACAAGTCTGAGCGGACCGGGTCAATCAGCACTGTCAAGCGGACCCCTTATTTGTCCTTGGACTCACTGGGCTGGAGGAAGCAGCACTTTCAAGCTGCCTCTCCTTATATCCCCCTGGGCTCCATGGACTGGGTCAAGCAGCACTTTCAAGCTGTTACCCTTATGCGTCCCAGATTCAGCACGTCCCTATCCCCACTCTCACATCACAATTGTACTGGCAGTAACCTATTTGATGAGCAAACCCCACAGTATTTTGGGTGCTGCAGGGATCTTTAGCTTAGGTAAAAGAAGAGTTGCTGTAGAGTGAATGGGGGAAGCTAAAAACACAAAAGAGTAAAGTTCAGCAAGAGAGAGAGAGAGAAACAACCAACTTAACCCTAAAAGTTATTTATTGAATAATAGTGATAACTATACAAGGAGAGCCTAAACCAACATAACATACATTATTAAAGGTTAATACCTAAGGTAGAAAGGAAAACAGAGAGAGAGAGAAAAAAGGGGAATCTCACCCACTCCATGAGGCTTGAACTGGTCGGGTTTCCTAGGTAATGGTGGTAGTTCAGGGTCCTGAGTGCTGGAGACAGGCAGAGCCCCCAGCACAATCAGTCAGGAGAATATGGAGTCCCAGTGGAACTGATGCATAGTTTGTATCTAAGCATCAGAACCTTGGCTAGAGGGTGAGTAGGGATTGTTGTAGAGAAAATACAATGGTTCAAGAGAGAACACTAGATTTGTTTATAGGTAAGCTGATGACTTAAGGGTTTTCTTTAGGCTAGACAATAGGAGCTAATCACTTTTGGATATGGGTGGTGTTTTCTTCCAGGGAGCTCACAATGCAACTATGCTTCTTCAGTATTTTGGATATCAATCAAGGATCCATTACTAGAATTGGTCTGATAATTGCAGAGCTGGGTGTGAGCAGGCGTAAATTCATTAACATCTGGAGCAGAGATTCCCATGATGCAGTGCTTCCCTGCTTTTTCTGGTCCCAGAGTTCAGTGCGGTTCTCTGTTCCGTATGCAAATTGAGATGTCTCCCTGTCCCATCTTTCATGCAGATGAGGCTAGGGGAGTTGTCTCTGCTCTCCATTCTGTATGCTAATGGAGATGTCTTAATCTTGTCACCCTTGTCAGGAGGGGGTCTAGGTGTGTCTCCCAACACCCTTTACTGCTCTCTGCAAGTTTTTTCCTCTGATGGGTTTTGGTTTAAGCAGAGGCTGTGGGGGGAGGGGTGTCTTTCATGAGTCAGGCTGGATACTGCACCCTTGTTCCCCAAGAACACAGAGGTGTCTGGTATCAGCATCTCCGTGGAAGAGGATTTGCCCCCTAAGAAAGGAAAACTGACTGACTTGCAGTGAGCGGTTTACTACAGAGAATGCAACTCCAAACAAGCCCATACATGCCCATTGCTATTGACCCACTACTAGGCATTAATCTAGTTCCCCATGTGTCTTCATGCTGTCTGACTTTGAATCAGTTCCTAGTGGAACATGGCACAGACAGCAGCTGACAGCACCACTGACTGCTCTACTTAAGCCCCCATTGCAGCAACTGAAATGCAATTGAAAGAGCTTGGAAGGGCAGTGGGGAAGTTTGCATGCTAGGAAAGTAACAGATCAGAAGGTTTGGGAATCTACAGCACGGAGTTAGGAGAGTGAAGGGAGATATTTTAACTGGAAAGGACTCACTGGGGGTTCATCCTCAAAGTGGTTCATCAGATCAGAGTTCAGACGCATTAGGAAAATAGTCTGAGCAAGATTTTATTTCAGCTCTGCAAACCACACCTGTTCTGTGAATAAATATAGTACTTTATTTTCCGGGGCTGTTAAACTTTCTCCTTTCTTGAGCACTGAATTCACTCTGAGCTTGAATATGCCACCGTTTCTTACGCTGAGCAGTAAGTACCTTACTCCCGTAGTAGTTCCACTGAAGTCAGGGGGGCTAATCAGGAATATAGTACTGCTCAGAGTGCCTATTATTTTTACAGAACAAAACCAAAAGATTGGAGTTGAGCTTGGTTTATTTTATTTTGTTTTGTATTTGTAATATGCCCATGAGGATTTTTGCTGCAGGAAATGGGTAATGCAAAGCAAACAGTATTATTTTAGACAGAGATTGTCCAACAACTAAGTGTAACATTTAGAAGTGTTTTTAAAAAGCCTAAAAAGAATAAATACATTTCATTTTTTTCCCAATTTTAAATTATTAGAACCTTTTGGTATTTTGTTTGTTTTTCTTTTAATTATTTTTTAAAACCATCTTGTGAACCTACACACAATTGTACTGTCCGTGCATGACAGCCAAAAAGTGAGATGTAATATAAATAGGAAATTTAAACTGAATAGTCTGATTTCAGTGCTCCAGCGGCATCAGGCAAACAAGAAATCAAAATGGTAAAAAAAAAAAAAAAAAAAAAAATCATTTAAAATCCATTCAGATTGATTATTCCAAAGTGTTACGAGTAACATGTTTATGGAACTTTTATTCAGACATTGCAGTTTCAAAAAATTATTATTATTGCCCCAGAATAACTGTCAAAATAGCAAAAACGTGTACATATGCAAAACTCACACATATACTTATAGATTCCCATTTACACATGGATATATCCAGATTAGATGCAGGAACACACATTTGTTGCAGCTAAATATATGTGGAAACAAGAATACGTTGTGGGGGGGCTGAAATATGTGTGGTGGCTGTTGTTTGGCTTGGTTTATTTTGCTAGCACAAATTACCTTGGTTGCTCCTAATGTGCTCTCACTAAACATCTAAGCATAAAGTAGTGGTTTTTAGTTGTTGCAGTTAGCAATTGCTGTCTTTTAAAAACCCTGATTTGTTCCTTTGAAAATTCTTGCAACTCAAAGTACAAAACATAAAAAATAGTACAGACGAGCAAACTTGTGGCATTTATGAAATAAATAAAACGCATATCCTTTTAAAATTTAGTTTTAAACTCCAGCTATTTTTTTATTCACAGAGCAAGATGCTGCACTTTGTCAGATCGTCGCTAGAAATTGCTTTCGAATGATCCACTCTTCAGATTTTGTTGAAGTGATATCAGACACAAAATTTACCAAAAATTATTGTCAAACCAAAACGATGATGAAGGAGCTAGTAGAAAGAATGAAGCCAATGCATTCAGTGGGAAGGTTCAGATCAAGCTAGGCAGATTGAGAAACCTTTAGCGGAGAAAAGGAATTGCTCCTATGAGTATCCACTTTAATTTCACCTGAGTTGGCCTCTACAAAAGTCAATGGTTTGTCAGTAGAGCAGCCTATAGAAACAGAGATGTCATCTTCATTGGAGAATCAGTACAGAAACATACCTAGCTTGGAAGACAATATGAACGACAAAAACATATTTAAACTCCAAGAAAATAACTGCTGCACAATGTATGTATCAGAAAATTCAAATGATTTTGTATACTCAAACACTTTAGCTAGTGACGCTGCTGGAAAAGCAGCCAAATGCTACAGCGTTCAAGTGTATTCCAAACCAACAAGTCTAATCAGTAATCATATAGACAACTGTTGCCTTACTGCTGAAAACTTAGTTTCTAGTCAGATCACTGAAGATGCCCAGGCATCTGAACATAGTAGCCTCAATAAACTTCTGACTGAGAATACACTGTCCAATTACCAAGCAAATATTGACACAGGAAATCAGCATAACTTTGTAGAGGACGCCTCTCAGATCTGTGACACTAACTTTGAACTTTATCCAGGTAAAACTCTAATCTCAGCTGATGAGTTTTCTGATGATGACCTTGAGTATCTGGAATGTTCTGATGTGATGACAGATCTTGCAAATGAAATATGGGAAAAGAAATTAAAATTTTTATTAGAAAGTGATGAGGAGGAAGATATAAAGCTGAGTGAGGATTGTGATGGGTGTGATTATTTCCTCAGTGGAATGCCTTGCCGGTTTCAAGTGTCAGATAACACTATGCCTATGGATACCACCATTGGCTTCTGTGGTCATCACTCAAAATCCAAAGAAGTAGCTGTAAGGAGAGATCTCTCCACATACAGTCAGTCAACCTTGCAAACAGGGATGACTCTTACTGTTGGGCACCACCAAGATAAAACTACCACAATGAAAGACAAGGAGAAGTGCAAATTGCCCGTCGCTTCTACGGCGATTGAAAATGATTATCCTAGAATTGAAGAAAACAATACAAATAACCACTCAGCGGAAGATTTCTCTATTGACAAATCACAGAACATGGATGTCGTACTTGCAGAAGTGGAGTCCTCCTCTTGTGGCTTAGATAGTTCTCTGACAAATCAAGCCTCGGAGACCATGGTAGCAAATAGTATGGGCAAAGACCTGTCAAATAAGAGTTCACAGCAATTAAATGGGATAAGGAGAAAACTGGCAGAAGAAAAATCTAAGGATGCTGTAATCAATTTGACAGAGAGGCTGAGAAAAGACCTTTTAAATCTATTAGACCCCAAAGAACTTAGCAAACCATTAAGACACACAGGAGAATCTGTTCAAACTGGAACAAATGTTACAGATACTAGTGCACTGTTTCATAATCCAGGAGGTGCCATTTCAAAACAAAAGCACCAGGTGACAGAAAGCTTTCTAATCCAGGCTGGCTTATGTCATAGACAAGAGACAGATAAAACCAGTCATTGGGAAAGGAAATGGACTAGTGGCCTGTCTGACAAAAATCAGCTGCCAAATGAAAGTGTCTCACCCAAGGTAAGTAAAGCATTTTATAATTAAACATAAAGAGCTTTTCTAGCAACTTGAATGTACTTTATTCCGATTTGTTGCAAAATAATGCAAAATGTAAATTACTTTAAAAGATACTGTTCAAACCCTTGTGAATGACAGCTACTGCTGTGAAGGAAATCTGGTTTTGAAAAAAGCCCAGATAAACCAGAAGCTGTCCTAATTATAGAGAGAGACAGATAATAGTAAAAGGCATTAATGGACAGCTGGATAGGGAAATCTGATATTTAATCTATTGCATGTGTCTTATCCAGGCAATGTCTCTCTCTGCTTAGAAAGTTTCTCAATTGAGTGTTGCAAGTGGAGAATATACCTTAATATATGAGCATAATTTGAAAAGAAAAAAGTGTCAAGTTCTCATCTCAGCTACACTGATGTAAATCTAAATGAGCTCCACAGAAGTCATTTGAGAGTTAATTTATATTTGCCCTGGTGTTACTAAGATGACAATTTGATCCAAAGGGTTTATGTTAGCAAGAGGGACAGTTTTGATTGTTTTCTTAATAAAAGAATGAAAGATTTAAATTTTCTAGGGAAAAGTGGCTTATTTCTCTTTGTGAAAAGCATATAACACCAAGTGTTCTCCTAATGCTGCTGTATTAAATGGACCAGATACTCAGCTGGTGTAAATCAGCATAGATCCATTGATTTACATAGCGGTACACCAATTTTCACCAGTAGAGGATTTGGCCCATACTTTTTATTTCATGTACAAAAGACCTAAGGAAAACATTAAAACATAACAGATCGGGCAGATTTTGTTCCTTTATCATTTGCTTAGGGGGAAAGATTTTAAAACGGGTGGCAAAATTCACAGGAAAACTTATTTATGAGAAATGCATATTTTTAATTGATAAAAACATACCGTACTTGTGGATACATAATTGTACCTTCTATTGACTTCAGTGTTTACCTCAAAATCTAATGCGCTGATAATAGGCTTTTGAAAATAAAAACAGCATAAAGCAAGGAGTAATTTCTTGAAGTGATGCAACATTCTGCATCTCAAAGGTAGAAAAATGGAAAACTCTCTTTAGGTGGATTATTCTTCACCCTGACCTTTTGGGTGAGATTGAGCATGAAGGGACAAGTAGTAGTAGCCAAACATCATTCAAATGTGGATGGCATTCAAGTGTCCCATTGTTCATATATTTGGACCTCAGAATACAACTCCTGACTGCCTAAACAGCCACACTTTCCCTCTCCTTCTCTCTCTCTTCTCCTCCCCTATAACTACCTGCTATAACTGCCATGAGACTTCTTCCCTTGCTTTCACCAGGCACAACCCTCTGGCATCTCACTCACACACCCCCATAGCATTTGATTTAAATCTACTCATTTTCCATTATATTTTGGCATGCATGCACTCCCCCACAAACACACACACATGCATGGAGCATTTTTTAGCGGAACATACTTTTCTTCCCCTATTTCTTTCTAGCAAAAAAGGCCCCCATTTCAAAGTGATAGTTAATTTTGAGTTCAGTCATGGGATTTCTTAAACAATCAAAAATAGTCAAATTATTTCACTTGGAAAAGCAGCTATAGCGCCCACCTTGCCATCTGTATTCCTGGTTTTCCTTTGTTACACATTGTATATAAAAGGTGCAGTAACATTTTAACAGTGAATCACACTCTTGTGATGTAAAACACCCTCATTAAGTAAAAACCTACTAAAAATTTAATGGCATTAGGCACAGTCATGGTTGGCTGAGACAATAAACCCAAGCCCTGACGGTCTGTGGTCATTAAGATCCTATGACACTTTTCTCAAAAGCAGGTTGTTAATCTGAATGGCATGGCCAGATTCCAAATTGGCTAGTTATATTCTGGCTACCTGCACTTCTGTGGTGGGTGGGCTTTATTGCATTTCATACCACATAAATAAAGTGAAAATAAAACAAAAACATACAGACAGATATTAGAAATGAGGATTAACCAAAGCCCTGGATTCAAACACCCTCCAACTGGGGTAAAGGTTAGATTCAGATACAAAATTACAGCATACTGCCATTTTAGTAATGGGCCGAATCAAAGCCTTAGACCTGAAGACTACCAACTGCAACTTCGGGGAAGTTTGGATTGGAGTTTTGCCCTGGGACCCATCTCTGCAAAGTACATAATGAGCCATAAACCTTCCCATAGTCTCTCAATGTAACATAAGAAAGGAGAGCAAGAATCAACTTTGTACCCTATAAACACAGGGCCGGCCTTAGGGAAAATGGCACCCTGGGCGAACTTTCTTTGGTGCCCTTTAAGTACTGGTCCCCAAGCAGCGGGTAGCCACTCAGCAGGCAGAGCAGCAGTGGCGCTGCAGGTGTCATGCAGCCAGGAGGAGGGAGAGGGGATGCGTATGAGCGCCTGGGTCCTCCCCCAGACTCCCTTTATCCTCTCCCCTGCCTCCCGGGTAGGCACAGCCCTTGTGCAGCCTTTTGACCAGGGTGCCTCCCCTGACCACAGTGCCCTTGGTGGTCACCCATGTTGCCACCCATAAGGCTGGCCCTGTATAGACAGCCTAGTCTACTTAGGGCTACATTGTGGTATTAGCCTCAGTTCTGCAGAGTTAGGGCAGAATAAAACTGACTGGGCGCAGAAAGAGCACCATGAGGCACTTCCCAGTTCAGCTGGTGAGAAAGTAATTTGCTATCCCCTTTCAAAGGGTGCAGTATATTCCCCACTGTGCAGTAGGTCAGCTCTGCTGGCAGGATCATAGTGGCAGAATAACCATGGCTCCACCTATCCTCTGTCTCTTCCAGTCCCCTTCGTGGAGCACCTCAGTAGCAGCCTCCGTGCAGGCGCTGGTATTCTCATGGACCTTGCTTTCATGAGCCACGCCAGGAGAGAGGCTCCTTATTCCCTCCCACAAAGCCTCATGACCTCACAACCTCGCCCTACATGAAATGTATTTATTTAATGCACATTGATTAATAACAGATAAACAAAGCCAGCTAGGCCAGCGGCATGACATTGCATACAGAACTGAAAACTGGAGCACTTCAACTTCACAAGATACTTGCATTCAAGAGGAAGCAGCTGTCGTGTGCCCAGTCAACATCATCAGTTGGAGTAACATTGGCATCAGCCCTAAATTACAGCACCTGTCTCTGGAGCCTGCCAAATGTCAGCAGAGTCAGTGAAGTGCTGTTGCAATTGGCAAGTTCACAGGGTTTTGGGGGCATAAGCACTACAACATTTATCTTTTCATAGTTCCACAGAGGTTAAGGACAGAAGGGACCATTAGATCATCTAGTCTGACCTCTTGTATATCACAGGTCATGAATTTTCACCCAGATACTCCTATATCAAGCCCAAAGACTTTAGCTAGACTAATGCAATTTTAGTCCTCAGGAAATTAAACTGTGTGCCACAGTGAAAGAACAGGAGAGACCAAGGTGCAGAGGAGATGTATGGGGAGCACACGGGGTCATGTGCCCCTCCAAATTTCTTCTAGGGTTCAAACTAGAGCCTTTAAATTGTGCCCTCCTCACATCAACAGTATGTGTCACCTCTGCCTGGCAGAAATCTAGGAGGCCTGAGTGCAGCATGGATGGTCTCTGAGGCTGGCTCACAGGGCATGTCTCCGTAGAGCAGCAATCAGCTTGCTCTGCTCCAGCCGCAGTGCATCGCTGGGAGTGAGGTGGGATTTCCCCATTATAGAGGGGGGAGGGCCTTGCATTTAACCTCATGCAGCTGTGTGGCCATGTGTGTGCGCAGGGGCTGCACCTGCAGCCCTGAGAACTGGGCCCAACTGCCTTGTCCAGCTTATAGAGTCCATCACAGAGCCAGGAATAGAGCCTGGTGGGGGGAGGGGGTTGGGATCCTGCACCCAAAGGCCAGACGGGACCAGGAGGCTGTGGCCAAAGGTGGGGCTGGCTGGGAGGCCAGGAGCTGGCTCTGACCTGGGAGGTGCTAGGAAGCTGCTCTGTATTGCACTGAAGAAAGCGCAGTGAGTGACTGTGAGGCCGTGTTGCAGGCCACGAGGCCGTGTGGCATGCTCCCCCACGCGTTGCCTCAGCTGCCAGGGCTCACACCAGAAACTTTAAATTGTGCCACCTCCCACTATCAACAGTTATGCACCTGTCAAGCTGCCACCAATGCACGATGTGGAAACTAGGTCAAATTACAAAGGTTGAATATAAACAAACAAACACAAGCACATAGGCATAAAATTAGAAAGGCCAAGTCACAAAAGGAGATTAAACTCGCTAGAGACATAAAGGGTAACAAGAAAACATTCTAGAAATACATTAGAAGCAAGAGAAGACCAAGGACAGGGTAGGCCTGTTACTCAGTGATGGGGGAAAAACCACAACAGAAAATGTGGAAGGTTAGTAGTGATTGGACATCTAACATAGTGAACACCAGTGAAAATGAGGTAGGATCGGAGGCTAAAATAGGGAAAGAACAAGTTAAAAATTACTTAGACAAGTTAGATGTCTTCAGATTACCAGGGCCTGATGAAATACATCCTAGAATACTCAAGGAGTTGACTGAGGAGATTTCTGAGTCATTAGCGATTATCTTCTAAAAGTAATGGAAGACGGGAAAGATTCCAGAGGACTGGAAAAGGGCAAGTATAGTGCCAATCTATAAAAAGGAGACTAAGTACAACCCGGGGAATTAAAGACCAGTCATCTTAACTTCAGTACCCAGAAAGATAATGGAGCAAATAATCAAGCAATCAATTTGCAAACACCTAGAAGAAAATAAGGTGATAAGTAACAATCAGCATGGATTTGTCAAGAACAACCTGTATCAAACCAACCTGATAGGGAAACAAGCCTTGTGGATACGGGGGGAGGGGTAGATGTGATATATCTTGACTTTAGTAAGACCTTTGATACTATCTCGCATGACCTTCTCATAAACAAATTAGGAAAATACAACCTACATGGAGCTACTATAAGGTACATAATGGGTACATAACGGGTTGGAAATCGTTCCCAGAGAGGAGTTATCAGCAGTTC